GGTTAATTTTATAAGAAATATTACATTCGGCCCTCCAATGAATGGCAAAAGTACATGAAGGCAGATGTTGGGTCCCTAACATTACCCATTTTTTTTTTTTTTTTTTTTTTAGACAAGATCTTACTGTGTAGTATTTTCTGCCAATGAAAGGAACCAATTCAAACCAAATTAAAGTATAAAGGAAGGCTTATTGCGGGTAGGTTCACTGGTCCCAAGGAATGGGGCTAGGGAGGTTGGCATGTAGAAGGAGACAGAGGGGAGGGTGAAGAGAAAGAGAAAGTGTATACAGAGAGGGAGGCAGGAGGGAGGAAGGAAAAAGGAGGGGGAGCTGGAGTTACAGGCAGTTGCGATCTGCCCGATCTGCCCGCTGTCGGTGCTGGGAACTGTCTTGGGATCTTCCAAGAGCAACAAAAGCTCTTAACCTTGAGCCATCTTTCCCAGACTCCTTAGCTAGTCTTTTTGACTGTTTGTTTCCAGAGTTTCTCTGTGTAGCTTTGACTGTCCTGGACTCCCGTTGTAGAGCAGGCTGGCCTTGAACTCACAGAGATCTGCCCCTCTCTGCTGGGATTACAGGTGTGTGCCACCACGCCCGGTGTTAGTCATTTTTTTTTTTTTTAAATTGAATACCGGACTTGAGACTCCAGAGTCTGTTCCTATCTCTGAAAAGTGCCGATTCTTCCTCAGAAGCTTTCCAGTTAGCCTGCATTTGTGACTGTGCACCATGCACGTGCCTGGTGCCTGCAGAGTGCAGAAGAGGATGTTGGATCCCATGGAACTGGAGTTATGTGAACGACCATATGGGTGCTGGAAACCAACTGCGTCCCCTGCAATAGCAACACTGTGAAGCACGGAGTCACCTCCAGCCTCTGACCTTGGCTTTCTCTGTGGATGTTGTGGCTCCAAGCTTGTGCAGCAGGATTCCACTGAGCCATCTCCTTAACTCTCCCTGTGTTCTTTTGTGTTTCATTTGTATCCTTAGCTGGCTTTGAACTCTATGTAGCCTAGGATAACCCTGACTGCCTGATCTTCCTGCCTCCATCTCCTAAGTAGTACAAGATTACAGGTCATGCTTGACTTTGTAATGCAGGGGATGGGACCCAAGGCCTCAGACATGCTAGACACACACTACCAAATGTTTTAATCCATAGAGTTCCAGGAGTTTTTCAAGTCATAACTTGGCAGAATTTTATCTCCCTAGTGTTTCCTCTGACAATATAACCAAAGGCTTGATGTTTTGGCTGTATAAGGGTAGGGCAGGTCTAGAATAGATCTCCAAAAAGGGTATGCTATTAGCTCCCAAGGACAAATGGCCTTCCTTCCTTCCTTCTTCCCTTCTTCCCTTTCTTCACTTTTTCTTCTTTGTTTTCTTGAGACAGGGTCTCTTTAAGTGTCACTGGCTGTCCTGGAACTCACTGTGTAGACCAGGCTGGCCTCAAACTCAGAGATCCACCTGCCTCTTCCTCTGAGTTGCTGGGATTAAAGATGTGCACCACCACTGCCTGGTAAATTTCTTTGCAGCTTTCATCATTACATTTTTCATGGCTAGACCCAATTTGTTGGAACTCCCCAACAGCCACCTTCTTGGAGTCACAGGCCAACTTTAAAACAGCAATTTCCTGTGTCGTCCATCATGGAAGTAACACCTTCCCTCACAAGTTTTATTTGGTTGTTTAAAGATAAGGTCTTACTCTGTCAGGATGGCCTGAAACACTATATAACCCAGGTGATCTTGAACTTGTTTCCCTTCTCCGAGTCTCTCAAATGCTGGGACTGTAGGTATATATCACCCTTAAAAGATTCTCTGCTCTCATATTCTAGCAAATGGATAAGTTTAATCCTTTCTCTTCTTTGGAGACAGGGTCCCATGTATCCCAAGCTGACCCTGAACTCACTATGTAGTGTAGTAAGAATTTGGGTTTCTTAAAAAACCCAGTGAGATGACTATGTTTTTGTCATAACCCCAAGTGTGAGATATGGGGCTGCTTCAGATTGTCCACAGCTGCTATGATTTGCCTCATGCTCTAGCAGGGGCGTGATTTTGCCAGTTCCACACAATTTATGTTTGGAATTCTGGGGAACTCTTGAGAGGATATAAATGCCAGAGCCCAGAGAGTGACAGGCGTGCAAAGAAAAGACAGGAGGAGGAGGCAGCGTAGGAAGAAGAGTAGGAAAAAGAAGGAAAAGATGGTGGTGATGGCAACTGTTGCTCCTGGCTGCTGCTGTTGCAGTTTGAAGACAGCCAAACAATGAAGATTGGACTTGCCCCAAGGAGCCAAACAACTCTAATCAGCAGGAATTCGTCTAAAGAGACCTATGTCCCCTTTCCCTCCCAACCTTCTGTCTCTCCTACCTGGTGTGGGGGGGAGGGTCTGCGGGGAGTTAGAAGGGGTTGGGGTGGAGAAGAGAGGTAGAGATATAAGAACTACAATAAGTAGCCAAAACAAATACAGCAACAATGTAGTGAACTTGAACTCCTGATCCTCTGGCCTTACCTCCTAAGTGCTGGAATTTCAAGCATGTGCCACCATGTCCAGCTTATATGGTGTTGGGCATGAAAACTATGGCTTCCTGGACTTCTCTAACCTTGAATGAGTGCTAGGCAAGCATTCTACCGGCCTATGTTCCCAGCCCCATATAACCTTAGTTATTTTTAAAAAAGATGATATATTTTACAAATGACTTTTAGTAATATTCACATTTTATTGAAAACATCTTATATAAAATGTCTTTTATGTTCTATACTTTCACTTATGGTCCTGCTCATTCCACTCCAGCTGTGCTGGCTAGTTTTATGTTAACTTGACACAGTCTATAGTCGCCTGAAAGGAGCCTCAACTGAGAAAATGCCTCCAGAAGATGAGGCTGTAAACAGGCTAGCCTGGGATGTTTTCTTAATTAGTGACTGATGTGAGAAGGTCTAGTCCCTAACCAAGACACCAGTCATATGACTGGACTGTTTGAGTAAAAGCTTCGGAACCTTGACTTTTGGAACGTGGCCTGACTTGTGTGTGTATATGCACATGCGTGCATGTGGAGGCCATTGGGCAATATCCAGTGTCTTCTTTAATCTCTCTCCTCCTTACTTCCAAGACAGGATCTCTCACCTTAACCTGGCATACGTTCTGCCAAGCTGCCTGGCCAATGAGCTCTGGAAGATCTGTCTCTACTTCCCCAAGACTGGGATTACAGACAGGTGCTACCAACAGCTGGCATTTTAATGGGGGTTTTAGGGATCTGAACTCAGGTCCTCATGCTTGCACAGCAAGTACTTTACAGCTATCTCTTCAGACTGACTGAACTTTTTAAAAATAAATTTTAAAACTTTTTTCTTCCTTTTTCAGTTTCTCTGTGTAGCCCTGGCTGTCTAAACATGGCATAACAAGCTACAATAAGACCAGGCACATACCATTACAGGGTTGGCCTACTCAGTAGGAGGAAAAGGGTCCCACAAGTAGACAACAGGGTCAGAGACAGCCCCTGCTTCCACTGTTAGGATTCCCACAAGAACACCAAGTTACTCAGGCATAACATACATGCAGAGGAACTAGGTCAGACCCCAACAGGGTCCCCATGAGTCCCAGTCAGTTGGTTCTGCGGGCCATGTCTTCCCCCTCCTCCACCGGACTCCCCAAGTTCAGCCTAACGTTTGGTTGTGGATCTCTGGATCTGCTCCCATCAGCTGTTGGATGAAGTCTCTTGTCTCTGATGACGACTCTACCAGCCTCTGGTCCCAGAACACTCTGCAAGACTTCCCGGTCCTCTGGCTCTTAAAAATCTTTGTTCCCTCTTCAGAGATTTTCCTGAGCCTCAAATGCAGCAGTTTTACTGTGTATGTCTCCATTGTGGCTGGGCACTTCATGCTCAGTTGTTCTCTGTATTTTGACTAGCTTGACTTTCTGTAATGATCTCCTGCTATAGGACTTAAAAAAAAAAAAAAAAGGCCGCTTTGATGATGGGCAATAGCTACATTCATCTGTGAGTGTAAGGTAATTATTTGGAGTGCAATTAGGAATTATATTGGTTTAGGAAAGTATTGGTAGTAGGTTCTCTTAGGTCTACGACCTCTTCAGCCATGGTTAGCTGGCTAGATTTACAGTACCAAGCATGATTTCTCTCCTGTTGAGCAAGGCTTTAAATCTAATTAGAAAGTTGCTGGAAAGCCCCCAAGCTCTGTTATTACTTTACCAATTCAGATGTTTCTGGTGCAGTGACTGTAGGGCTACCCAGTGCTGCGCTTCCTTGGCAGCCTGCACCGACACCATGAGAGCCACTCCTCAGGGAAGCTACCACATCACGGTTCCATCACTCCAAGTTCTGTCTGAGGTGTATCATGTCTTCAGCACAGAGCAAGCACGACAACAGTAACAGTGTAGACTTGTGTCTCCTGGAGTCTCCTGCCCCACATCTTGAGTGGGGGTTTTCTGCTTGGTATTGGGGTTTGTGTTAGATAGTCTATGGCTCTTTCAGAAGTAGCGTAACTTCTTTAAACAATCTGTGTATGTCTGGACACACGCATGTATCTGTGTGGTGGTTTGAATGAGAATGGTGTCCACAGGCATAGATTTGAATGCTTGGTCACCATGGAGAGTAACTATTAGGAAGTGTGGCCTTGTTAGAGGAGTTATGCCATTAGGGATGGGCTTCGAGGTTTCAAAAGCCCAAGCCAGGCCCAGTGCATCTGTCACCCATTTTCCCATTTTTCCATTGTACCACTATTTTATCTGATTCCTGGGTGCTGACTGCTTCCATTTGAATGCAAGCTCTAGAACAGACCTCATCTTATTCACATACCTCACTACCTACAACTAATGTTAAGGATATAAAACATTTTCCATCTTTGCTGTATAAGCTGGTTCTACAATAAAAACCCTAGTCTTCTAGTTCAGTTTAACCTAAACTAAATGCTATCATTTATTCAATTTTCAGCGTCAGGATGTAAATGTTTACATTCAGGTAGTTAGTTTTATATATATATATGTAGCAAAATCAAAACTGTGAAACAAGTTTTAACTTTTTAATTTATTAGAACCCAGTAAGTGACGATTTTTAAAATCAGAGTTCCCATCAAATTAATACTTAATTCAGGGCAAAAACATTAAAACAAAACAAAAAATGAACAAAACTCCCTAAATCTTAAGGCAGAAGTGGAACACTGTAAACAAAATAAAACAGCATGTCTACTACACACTGCAGAACATCACAATTTAAAGAGATCCACATGGTAATTATAGCACTAAATGTTAATACAGTCAGAAATAGTATCAACTGGTTCAAGATTCCTCAGTTTTAAAAACGTCTAGGCTACTAACTGACATTTTGCTGTGTAAGGATAGCTCCCGTACAAGCAGTGAGGGTTTCCTGACATGTACTCAGCAGGCCTCTTTGTATTTTGTCTGTACAGCTCTCCAGGATCAAGCATCAAGCATCACTAGGCACCTGTAGACTCAGCATACAGTTCCTCAGAACTGTCCCTTTAGGGGCCTGGAAACTTGCTAATTAGGCCAGGATGGCTGGTCAGGGAGCCCAGGGACCCACCCATCTGTTTCTGGCTCCTCAACATTACCTTTGCAGGTGAGATGCATGCCCAGCTGTTCATAATCTGATATAGTACGAAAACAATTTTAATAAATGACTGCATCTCTTCCTGGACATTGAATAACTTTGGACTGAAACATAAGAACCTCAGTGTCTCAGTAAATGAACAACCACTTCTTCTACAGATAGTATTTATTTTCATGCCTGTTCACTTGGTTTGCTGTTTATTCTTCAGTGTTGGGATCACACTCGGGCCTCACACATCTGAGCTACAGTCACTCCTCAGTATTTCATGTTTATGTGCAATTAATAGCAGCCCTTCTAAAACACAGTATTAATAGCCTTACATTTTCCCCTTATGATCAATACCTTTCATTTTTAAGGAACACAAAAAAAATTAAAAGTGCTTGAAATCAGCAAACAAGGATTAGCTAGCTTATACATGAATAAGCCAAAAGACACAATGCACTGAAAATAATTCTGTAAGTCTAGCAAATGAGCTAGGTGGGTTCTTAACTAACATTAATTACAAATATTCATTTTTATTACAAAGTTTCCAGCTATTTCGGTAAAACAGCTGTAGACTTCACGGTATTTCTATTTATCTGTTCATTAATAAAAAGCTTTTAAAATCCCTTACTTAGTAATCCTGGAAAAGTCTAATCAAATATGATCATTAAAACTACCCAAAAAGCTTTGCTGTACTGATTGTAGACTCATTTCAAAGTGGATTTCATCTCTTTCAGGATCTGACACTTGAACGGTGAATATATTCACCAGCTTGAACTCTGAAAATCTAAAGAATTTTCGCCAGTGCCGACCAGAGTTAAACAGTACTGTTATCACTTGAAAACTGAAACTACATTGTCAGCCATGCCCTCCACGACGTCCAGAACCACGTAAGAACAACTGAGAGCTATGGCCATGTGGACCTGGGCCCTCCTCCGGCCTCAGCCCAGTCACCCGCACTCTCGGAGGGTAAGGGAACAGGGGCATTCTGTACATGTTGCCCATCGCTTGGCATCTGGCCTCCCACTTCTGTGTACCTATTCTAGTGTAACTCCTTAGAGTGTTAAATGAGGGGTAGAGAGGACACCAACGGGGTAACAAAAATGTGTTAGTGTAGACTTTTCACTTGAATGGCTTCTCATTGCGGTCACACTATGTGCAGCACATAATCTGGACAAACACTTGCTCCTGTTTGTCTTTTTGTGGGAAAAAAAAAAAAAAAAAAAAACAACAACAACCAAAAAACTCAGGCTCAATAAAATGTGAAATTTACATTAGTTTGCTTTAAATGCAAAGATTAACTGTTTTTGGCTCAGCTGTGTCGTAACCAAAAAAGAATCTGCTTTGATAATACAATATGAAAAAGTTCACATATGTACACTGGTACATTCCTTCATTAAAATTCCCTTAAGTCTATCTCAATGTATCTTTACAACTGATACAACTGATCTTTACAACAAAAGTCAAAACTGACAAGTAGAGATGATTTGCTGCACAGCGCTTTGGGCTTCCGGCATCCCTTAGACTTAAAGGACATCATTGAAGCGCTGTTTGCCATAGTCTGCAGGATCCATCTGAAGCTCTCGCTCTTCATCATCTGCAAGCAAAATAACATGTATCAAGGATAGGATTCTAAAGTCGCCACAGAGAGCCAGCTTCAAAGAGTCTCTAGTTTTTCAGCTTTATGGCAATCTTTTCTCATTATCTCTTATCTTTAAACAGTGCTTTGTTTCTTAGCTGCACGGCTGAAATATAAAAAGCCGGTCACTTCTTTTCAGATTTAATTTTAACAACTATTCTGAGCTGGGCATACCTGTAACCTCAGCACTAGGGAGTCTGAGGCAAAAGGATTAGAAGTTCAAGACCAGCCTGGACCACATAGAAAGTGTGAGGTCAATCTGGGCTACACGAGATTCCATCTCAAAGAAACAAAACATCATCCCCAACCTGAAAACAGAACAAGAACCATCCATGACAGGCACGAGGGAAACAGATAAATGTAGGACAGGCAGCGCTAGCCAAAGTTAGGAATGCACAGCACTGGGGAGCTAGTGCTGTCATGCACTATCTCAAAACCAGCATCTCGCTAATCGTGGGGGTTTGCACGTGCCTGTGAGCTGAGAGTCAAGGGCATTCCTGGCGCCACAGCCAGCTTCTGGACGGCCAGAAGATAAACTAGCAACATCTTTTCAAATTATAAAGGTAATCTGCACTAGTCATCAAAAAAAAAAAAAAAAAAATCAGAAAATAAGAGCAAATATAAGTTGTACCCAGTCCCAGCATGTAACATTTTAGAGAAGTTTTCTGTAAACAGCTCACCCTTGACTTTCTAACAGAGCACACTAACCAAAACTCAGCTCTCTCTTCAGCAAAAAGCCTTTTTTGGGCAGCTCTATTAAATGACTCTAATGAATGCCTTACAGTTTGACTTCTCTGGCTACAGTCTCATCTGTCAGCTGCCACTTTTGTACTGTCAGTTTCTCTCTCAATAACCATCATTTCCCCCCCAAATTTTGATATAAACTTCTCAAAATAATTAAAATTATGTTAGAATTAAGAATGGAAGGAAGTTTAATGAGAACCCAAGGAGTTGGCTCTCTCTGTCCAATGCTTCATTTTATTTATTTTTCAGTGTCTCCCATAATGTACTGAACACCATTCTGAAAAGGAAAAGCATGGCAGATGCATGGGAAAGCTTTTTTACGGACTTTTGGGAAATTGAAAACCACACACTGGACTATTATAAATTAGGGACCACTTTTGAATTTTAATCATATTGAATTTAAAATTTTTATTAATTCTTTCTGAGAATTTTATACAATTTACTTTGACTATATTGACTCCTATTCCCTGCACACCGATCTTCCCAGATCCAAGTGCAACAGTTTGTTTTTGAGACAATTCCACTATGTAGCTCAACCTTGAACTCCTAATCCTGATGTTTCAACCTTTCATGTGCTATTTTGGTCTTTCAAAAATGAGCAAACAAGTCAATGTTCTTTCCCCACCTACAACAACTTTCCTGTTAAAAACATTGTTTAAAACTTCAGGCAACCATTTTGCAGCATACTCTGAAAACTGATCGCTTTTGTTTTTTAGGAGGGTGTGACAGGGACCGAACTCAAACTATCTGCATACTGTCAGGTGCTCTTCCACTGAGCTACATGCTCAGCCTGTTTATATCTGCTGGATCATTTGTTTTCTATCTGTTTTTGTGGTGCTATGGATGGACCCAGAGCTCTGGCCACGCTGCTCAGAGCTACATCCTTAGATTGCTTTTACTTTTTATTCTGAGATAGCATCTCACTAAAAGTTGCCTCGGCTGGTGTTGAACTTTCAATCCCCTGTCCTTGGCCCACAGAATAGCTGGGATTAGAGGCCTGCCCCACCTGGCCTTGCTTGATGATCACATCTCTAAAGTAAAATGTATCCCAGACCTATTATAACAACTGTAAAGGCTAATGTTATGCTATATTCACATTTGTGTTTTGTAATCATGACAATCACTTAACAAAAAACGCACTTAAAAAAAAATCTTTGACTTTAAAGGGATAATCACAAGCACTTTCCCAGAATGCTTTCTGGAGAACCTGAGTTATGAAGCCTCAATTTATGCCCATGAACACATCTTTTAAGACATTAGTAATTAAATGAAGACAATCATTATGGAGCAATGAAACATTCTGAGAAATTCAACACAAAAGTTACTGCAGAAAAAAATGTTATTTTTCTGAATTTTTACATGAATAAATACATGGAAAATATGAGATAAAAACAAAGGTTCTAGGAATAGAAAACACTGACATTTGTTCCTGGATCAGACATTTAGACACAATCTATTCTATTCCTATTCTTTGGGCCTGCACTGTACCTTCTCAGTACAAGAACAACTGTCCTACCCTAGAATAAAATAATGCAACCGCAGTTTCTATTTGCAAAGTCCTCCATAAACGTAAGGGAGGCCTGACAAACTTAACCTATAGTCTTTCCTGGACACATGTGTGCTTGTGTGTGCATGTACTGAGGGCTGATCTCAGGAGTGGCACATGTACTCTACCGCTGAGCTAGAGGGCCCCATCTCACTTTAGCACAACTTTAATACGATCCTTATACACTGTTTAAGGATTTCAAGGACTTCTGGAATACTTCAGTGAGCATCATTTACACTGACTACAGTTTAGTTTCAGTGTAGTTATCCTACCCAGAACTCAAGTTTCTATGAACAACTTCTTTATACTTCACTATAAACCTATACAATTCCTGACAGAATATATCTGACACACTACAATCAATATAGAGATCAGGCATTTAGTTTCTACAGAAAGCAGCAGTACTTGTAAGCAGCTAACCATGAGGGAACAACCAAGGAAAGACAGAGAGACATGCTAAGTTGTGTCATCAGTGCTAAGCTCCCTGCGAATGTACGAAATGACTAGCAACTAAAGAGCTCCTGAGACAGATAGGCCTGTAAGTCACAAGGCGCCTACAGGGAAGAGAACCAACTACCCTCCAAAGGAGGCAATTCTGAGAGAAAATTCTAAATTTTCTTTTACTTAAAAAAATTACTGAAGCCAGGTGTGATAGCACACTTCTGTAATCCCAGCACTCAGGGAGGCAGAGGCAGGTGGATCTCTCAGAGATCAAGGCCAGCCTGGTCTACAAAGTGAACCCAGGACAGCCAAGGCTACACAGAGAAATCCTGTGTCAAAAAAAAAAAAAAAATGTTTTTTGAATGAACAAATAGTGCTTTCTAGAATGAAGTACTCTGCTTTAAGGGCTGACTGATACCAAATCATGTAGTCCACATAACTGTTAGATAAAGTACATTTATTTCTGCTTTATAGTTGTGGGCATTACGGCACAAATCTTGGTATTTACAAGGTCACACTGTGAAGGAGAGAGGATTTGAACCCAGGCTTTTCAGCTCTGAAATGCTCAGCTAAGCTTTCCTCTGCAAACAGGCTAATGTTTATTAATATTTAGCAAATAAATTAGGAACTTCTTTGATAGTAAAGAATAAAAGAAACATAAAATTCTACTTCTTTTTCAAAATATTTTTATTTGGGGGCTGGAGAGATGGCTCAGCAGTTAAGAGCACTTATTGCTCTTTTAGAGGACCCGAGTTCAGTTCCCAGCAACCACAATTATCTGTAACTCTAGTTCCAGGGGATCTGATGTAGACACACACAGAGAAACACATACACACACATTTAAAAATAACAGATCTTTAAAAAGTTTTAAAGTTTTTATGTATATGAGTATTTTGTCTGTGTACCACTACACAGGCTGGAGGCCAAAAGTGTATGTTGGATCCCCAGGAACTGAAGTTACAGATGACTACCCTGCCATGACAATGTCTGGCATTGAACCTGGGTCCTCTGATGAACAGCTGAGCCATCTCTCCAGCCCCACGTTTCTACCTTCCTATAAGAGGAAAGAATGAACTAAAAGAGATGTTGTCTATCAGAGGCAATGTTTCCACAGATATTCTTTTCAATTTTTTATATTAATGTAGTAAGTTATTTCTTTTAAGATACTCTAAGAATCAGAAATAAAAATAAGCCATTATTATAAACACAGGAAAAGAGGCCTTATTTAATCATTTAAGCAGACACTGCAGCTAACAGTGCTGGGTCCAATATCAGCATGCATGAACAGAAAACAGGATAAGGCTGAACGCTGTAGCTCCTTACCGGCCAAAGCTACCACTTCACAGTGCTGACTTTTTTGAGATCCAAGTTAGAGTGTATTTAAATAAGAGAACCTTAGCCTTTAGTTGGAGTCCCTAGCCCTGTATATCCCTCAAGAAACTGCTTCCAGTCAGTGGGGCCTGTACCCAGAGCCTTAACGCTTCTAAAGTTGTTCCTTCCCCTTTCCTGTTGGAAAGGTGGCTCAACAGTAAGAGCATGACTGCTCTTCTAGAGGGCTCAAGTTCAATTCCCTACACCTAGGTAGGAACTCCAGTTGCAAGAGATACAACACCACTTTTTTCCTCTTCTAGCATCAGACACACATGCATCCAAAACACACATAAAATAATAGAAAAAAAATTCAAATGAAAAGGCATGGCTCTGTAGCTCAGAATAACCCAGAGTGCTCGCTCCCTCCCTCCTCCTCTCTCTCCCTCTCTCTTTCTCTCTCCCCCTCTCATCCCACCTCAGCTTCCTGAGTGCTGGGGTTACATGTGTGGGCCACCATGCCCAGTCATATTTCCGGGGTTTGTTTCTTTTTATCTTTGTTTGTAAAGTTTCAACAGTGGCAAAATCCTTTCTTTCTTTCCCAAGTTTGGAGGTAAGTGTGCCTCAGGCATTTTGAAATTAGAACTGTGTTTTCTTACAGTACTTAAGCATATGCAACTCTACTGAAATGTGGGCAGCATTCTAGTTCTAGATAAAGAACTGCACAGAATATCTACGTGACTTAGCAGCACAGAGACTTTAACTCCAATAAGTGGCTCTGTCCTCCTCCACCCATCCACCCCAGCCCCCCAACTCAATTTTAGCACCTGCTTGGGCTGGAAGAGTGTTAGAATTATGATAAATTGATTTCAACCCTGTAAATTCTGACCTTGCCACAACACCTGGAATCTATCTTGTTAAGTTGGGGCTAAGTCTCACTCCCCAATCTTTGGAACCTAAAATATTACAAATACATCTGAAATTATTTTAGATCTTTTAAATACTCCTGTTAAAATCAGTTTGTTCAATTTATTCCCCTTTGCTAGGGCTGCTGTTCCTGTTTATTTCTGTCCTCTGATGAATCTCCTTATAGTGTCCACTTCCTGCCACTATTACTATGGAGACCAACGTAAGATAAGCATTAACAACTCAACACAAGTGTGACTGACTTGCAAACCCTGAAGTAAACACTTAGAGCTGGAAATGTGGCTTAGCTGGTAGAGTGCTCAGCCAGCACATGTGAGGTCCTGGCTTCTTCCCCAGCACCACACAAAATTGGATGCGGTGGCATGTGCCCATAATTCCAGCGTTTGGGAGGTGGACGCAGAAGGATCAAGAGTTCAAGGTTGCCCTCGGCTGTGTACCAAGTGTAAGGCTAGCCTGGGCTACCAAAGATCCTAATGGGAAAAAATTAAAAACTACCTTCTCACTTCACTGAAAATATCTTGGGCTTCTTAAATTCCTTAGAACCAATGAATTTATTGCTTTTTTGTTTTTGTGAAAGGAAAAGCAAACCAATAATGAGAAATGGGTTCGAGGAGGATACAAGAAAGGTAGAGACGTCACTGAAGATAAATCACTCACTGTATATTAAATCCATATAAATATTAAATGAAATTTTCTGGTTAAAAATCATCAGGCTTAAGACAGGCAAAATGTAAGAATTAGTTATACTTGAAAAAAAAAAAGCTCTAATAAACACCTCGAAATTATCTAATAAAATGACAGAGATCTTTGTGGAGGGAGGGAAGAGTCTTCAAAGTGCAAACAAGCAAGCTGTGACCAGAGTTAAAGAGCAGTCACCACACTCAGTTACAAGAATGAAAGCAATGAAAAGGCATAATATTAATAGTTAATAGCACTGTTTGGACCCCAAGTGAGCACAAAAAAGAACACAAATAAAGTGCAGGGTAAAATAAATGAAAATTCCTGCTCCCCGAGCTTACAACCTAACTGGCAATATGATACACATGCATGAAAAAGCCATAAAGTGTTACAGATAATGACAAACAAACATAATCCAATTAAATCATAAAAGCAATGAGAAAAATTTTATGAGAAAAAATGATGTCCTCATATAACTCCCAATATTTATTAATCTCTTTTTTTCCACCAATAACTATATTTATAGCCAGACTAGGGTGGACCATAAAATGATGCCTAGGAAGTGAGCGCACTGGACTTCCCTTTTATCTTAACTCTACAGTGTTTGAGGTCACTTATATTATTTTCTAAGTTTAAAAAAGTCTTGAACCTAAGTAAAATTTTAATAATTATAAAAAGAAATAAGAAATCAAACTTGTTACAACAGAAAACTCATGCATTGTATTACAAATATCTTATATACAAGATCATAGGTAACTTTTAAAGAAAAGACTTTAAAACTCCATAAACACTACTGAACACAAGTAGGCAGAAAAGAAACCCAAAGGCCGGCTACAGCACAGCTGTGTGGTCTGAGGCATGCACCAGTTAGGATTCTGAACTTTCACCAAGTTAAAAGCTCAGAAGCAATGTCAACAAGAAAAAAAAAATGTGTTGAATCTGTGCATCAAACATAAAGACAAACCTTAAAACCCTTCATGAAATATAATGTTAAGGTTCACAGAACGTTCAGCCTTCTTGTGTTCTATCAGCGGCAGCGTACATTTCTGTTATTACAGAGGCCATTTCAGTTGTGGCTTTGCTTTAACAAAAAGGCTGTCTGGCCAATATTTTTATATACTTAGAATAAGTGTTCTCCAGTGAGATTAGAAAAAGATAGTTTCTGGAAGTATTTGCCTTAAAAGTAATGCCTAGAGTAATTTCAAACAATTTAATTCTAACAATTTTGAGGACTCAGCATTTCAAACTGTCACATCAATAATATATATAAGATAATCTAAAAATGGAAAAAATTTCCAATTATTCATAGATAACTTGTACTAGCATAAAACAGTTCTCAAAACTGGAAAATATCACAGAACCTCTTTAATAAGGATTAAGATACTGCCACCATTATAAGTAGGGAAAGTTCTACACAAATTCAACCAAAAACCTAAGAGGTGAGTTTCACGGTCACAGCATGGAAGCCAGGCCAGGCTCACCTTGGACGTCTTCCTCTCCACCATCACCATCTTCTTCCTCATTGTAAGCCAGCTCAGCCTGCTTGTCTGCCTCATACTCACCTACGTTACCATCATCCCCATTGTAATCCGCCAGTTTAGAGCCATGCTGCGGATCAACAGGGGATTCATTTTCATCAAAGAATCGGCCTGTGAAGTAGGTAGAGGATTAATTTAAGAGTAAAGAGCAGAAAAGAAGGGACCTATACTGAAGACAGATGAGAAAGCAGGCAACGGAAATCCGGCAGTGTTCAGAGTACTGGTCACAGAAGAACACATTTTATGAGGATTATACAAGACAAAAGTAAGTAAGAATGAAGACTCAAAATACCTTTAAAAGAAGTAGTTTATTGATCATACTACAAAGGAGTGGTAGATGGAGCAGCAACTCCATCCCTGCCTACACCCCAAAATAAAATTTATTCAAAATTTCCTCTTCTGTGTTTAGTGTTTAATACTAAGATTTAATGTTTTCTGCAAGATATGTGGCGCACGACTTTAATACCGGCACTAGGGAGGCAGGTGGATCTCTGAGTTCAAGGCCAGGCTGGTCTACAACTCCAGTTCCAGGACAGCCAGGGCTCCACAGAGAATCAAAAACAACAACAAAAAAAGTTAATGTTTTCTGTGTTTTTGTTGAGACAAAGACATACTGTGTAATTCAGGTTGGTCTCCCCAATAAGAGTGATTTGAAAATTTTCTTAAAGAAAAGGGTGCCATGTTTAGAATTCCTTTTCTAATGACTTACAATTTCTCTAATGTAAGTACTAGTCAAATATGACACTTTAGGGAGAGGACAAATCATTTTATTTCTATATATATATTTCACACTTAAAATCTGTAGTCATTTAGTTCTATGAAATACTATCTGTGAATTATTTGAAAAAAAAATTTTTAAAGCAACCAGTGAGCTCTATGAAAACTAACCCATCTGAAGGCCATTTCAAATTCCTTTAATAATACTGACTCACCACAGCCATGAACGTCTAAGGAGAAATGGCAAACAGCACAAATTCCAAATCCCTACTAGTGTTTGCCTTGAAAAAAATCCTAGGTTACGCCCTCCTGTTTCCCCGATCAGGTTTTTAAATGTTAATGGAAGCCTAAAGAAGGCGGTCTATGTCCGACCCCTACACTGGTCCCTAACAACGAAAAATCAAAGGGTGATGAACCTAATGCCTCTCATAAAAGCTCATCCATACCTAGACATTAAAAGCAAAACTGGGCCAGAAAGGTGGCTCAGCAGGGAATGGTGCCTGCTGCCTGATTCCCGAGCTGACACACAGGCCAGGCCTACTAAGGTCTAATTCACAAGCCTGTTAATAAACTATTGGGAGGGCTGGACACAGCACTTAGTGGGAGATCGCTGGTACATGAAAGGCTGTGTGCTCCATTCCTGGAACTACAAACAAAGCAATAACAATGCCACAAAACGACTTTAACACTAAATTTAACCAGAATGGAAATTAATATTGAAGGGCAGGAGAGATGACTCAGCTGGTAAAGGTGCTTGCTGCAGAAGTCTGACGAGCTGAGCTCAATCCCAGAACCTAAAGTAAAGGTGAAAGAAGGACTCCCACAAGTTATCCTCTGACCTCTGCACTCTCACCATGACACCTGTGGGTGCACACCCCCACACACAAATAAACAAACAGAAAATAAAGCTTTTAAAAAGGGGAGGGGGACAGACATGTTTCAGCAATGACAAGCATACATTCCCTTTGAAGAAGATCTGAATTTGGTTGCCAGTACCCACATCGGGCACTGTTACAACTGCCTAAGGCTCTGGCTCCAGCACATTCCCATGCCTCTGTGGGTACTCAGACATACCTGAGCGTGGGCACACACACACACACACACGAATACTGTTACAATACCCTAATAAGAATGAGGCTAATTTACTAAGGACGTAAGTAAAGGCAACTGCAGCCAAGCCTGAGGACCTGAATTCCATCCCTAAAAGTCACATGGTGGGAGGAGAGAGAGCCAAGCCACATTTTGACCACCTAGTACACACTGAGGCAGGTGTGTGAACACACGCACACTAAATAAATGTAATAACTATTAGTAATTGCTGAGCGTTGGTGCCTTTAACCCCAGCACTCAGGATGAAAAGGCAGGTGTATCTCTGTGAGTTCAAGGCCAGCCTGATCTACATAGTAATCAGCCAGGGCTGTACAGAGAAACTCTATCTCGAAAAACCAACCCCCCCCCAAAAAAAAATTGTGTGTGTGTGTGTGTGTGTGTGTGTGTGTGTAATTGTTTCCAATAAAAAAAAATGCAGATCCACAACACCATGTTAGCTTGATATGGCCACAGGCCATAAAGCTATGCAAAAGATATTTTGAAAGAATTTGTGAACATATAGATATAGCCCAATAAAAGATCAAATTGCCAAATTTAATAAAAGTCTGACATTCCTATAAACTGCAACCTCAAAAGAAACAAATAGGTTTATCTCTCAAATTCAATCCCAAATATTCTTTCACCAATTTGGAATGTAATTAGAAGAAAAGAATTAACAAAATTATAGCTGGGTGTGATAGTATACATTAAGTACCAGCACTCCAAAGGCAGAGAGGCAGACAGATCTCTGTGAGTTTGAGGACAGTCTGGTCTACATAGTGAGTTCCAGACAGCCAGGGCTACACAGTAAAACCCCATTTCAAAACAATTAAAATCATAGAGAAAAATTTTCTAATGCTTCTAGATGAAGACAAAATCAGAATAAAGTGGCAAAATATTTTGTTTTTATTTTTAAAGTAATTGTGTGTGTGTTGTGTGTTGTGTATGTGTGTTGCATGCGTGTGTTTATGTGTGTGGGGTGTGTGTTTGTGTGAGATGTGTGCACAGTGCCTGCAGAGGTCAGAAGATATTGGATCCTTTGGAGTTGGAGCTATAGGTGGTTGTGGTTGTGAGCTGCCCAACAAGGGTGCTGGGCACCAAACTCAGTTCCTCTGCAAAAGTGCTAGGTGCTCTTAACACCCTTTAAAAAATTTTTTTTAAATCTCTCGTTGAATCTGGAATTCTTCATTTCAGTTAGGCTGGTCCACTACTGAGCCCCTTCACCCTATTGATTAAAACACACACACACACACAGCTCGTCTATCTATCTATCTATCTATCTATCTATCTATCTATCTATCTATCTATCTACTTATTTATTATCTATCTATCTATCTATCCATTCATTTATTCATTCATTCATTTATTCATTCATTCATTCATTCGTTCATTTATTGGTTTTTTCGAGGCAGAGTTTCCCTGTCTAGCCTTGGCTGTCCTGGACTTGCTTTGTAGAGCAGGAACTCACAGAGATGCACCTGCCTCTGCCTCGGAGTACTGGGATGTCAGGAGTGCGCCACCCTGTACTGCTTTATTCATTTATTATTGATACAGGATCTCACTTTGTGGCTCTGTCTGTTCTGGAGTTCATCATGTAAATCAAACTGCCTGGAACTCACAAAAATCCTCCTGCCTGTGCCTTTAGAGTTCTAGGGTTAAAGGTGTGTACTGCCCTCTAATTATTTTCTCGAGACAGGGTTTCTCTGTGTATAGCCCCTGCTGTCCTGGAACTCACTCTGTAGATCAGGCTGGCCTGGAACCCACAGAGATTTGCCTGCCTCTGTCTCCCAAGTTTTGGGACTAAAGGCGTGCACCACCACTGCCCTGCTTGCCTATAATTTTTAAGTACAAGAGAATATAAAAGTTTGGGGGGGGCTGGAGAGATGTCTCAGTGGCTAAAAGCACTGTGTGCTCTTCCAAAGAACCCACATGGCAGCTCATAACTGTCTGTAACTTCAGAGATCTGACATCTTTATACTAATGCACATAAAATAAAAGTTAAAAAAAAAAAACCTTGGGACTAAGAGTCTTATAACAAAATCTATAAAATGAAGACATTAGTTATACATTAAAGTATGATTCTGCATTAATAAATAATTTCATTGTTTACCTAAAAAAGTAAAATGCAAATACTGATAGGACAACTTTATCAATTTTTAACAAATGCTTTCAAGGCTGGGAGAAAAAAAGTGAGACACTCTAACACTACTGAAGTTACTATTGTAGCAGAAGGAAAAGTAAACAGCTAATTGCAGAACAATGCGACATGTTGTATATATACTAATGAAAGCTGAAAGCAGGCTCTGTGGCTGGAAGTAGTACGAGAAGAGAACTGACTTGGACAAGACATACAGACATGAATTAGGGCTGTGCCAAATAAGCGACAGCATACTCTGGCAAGAGATCACATCCAAAGACCTTCTAGGTCTGTGTGATCCACCTGGAATACAAGCACACCTTTAATCCTAGGAGACAGAGGTGAGCAGAGCTGATTCAAGGCCAGCCTGGCCTGGAGCAAGTTTCAGGGAAAGAAAAGCTTAGATCCAGGTGTGGTGATACAGGCCTTTAATCCCAAACAATGAAGGTGAAGTTAGAAGGAAGCAGCCAAATTTGAAAGTGATGTCTAATTAAGTGTCAGAGGAGAGAGGAAAGGGAAGCTACTCCATGGGCAATGCAGAGAGAGGGGGGAGGAGACAGAGAGAGAGAGAGAGAGAGAGAGAGAGAATGAGAGAGAGAATATTT